AATAGATGGCTGCATGTTGACTGTTATACTCAATGTATAGAGTAAATATACTACCTGGAAGTGTAGAGATGTATAAGTGTATAAGAGCTCATTTGTGTCGGGTTTGAGATATTTTTGGATAGTGAAGTTTTAAAGAAAAAAAAAGCCCTTGTGAGCTTTAAGGCATGTGCCATAATGTTGTTAACTCATCAAAAACAATGTGTTTTCTGTCTGAGAGGAGAATTGAAATATGCAGGTTTTGTGTGCTAAACATGTGTGCAAGAAACAAAACACAACTCCAGATATGCTTTTGGTGAGGAAACAACATTAAGCTAAAAGAAAGAAAACAGTGTAAAATGAGCCTTTTAAAATGTAATATAAAATTAGGTCAAGAGAGTAAGAGTTATTTCATAATCTTTGTTTTTGTTTGATAGAGTGACCTAGATGAAGACCATAGTGGTTTTTAGAGTTTGGAGCTTGTTGTTATTGACAGTATTGAAAGACAGCCAGTGTTACATAAGTGCTCTTTTTGTTACACTCAGCGTGATAATGTTGGACCATAGCCTGGGTGGTCCTGGGTGGTCCTTCACATCCGGACACATACATAACAGAGGAGAGGTCTCTGCCACTGGAAAATACTATTACAACTAGTAGCATTATCACAAGCAAATTTGACATATGTGACAATACCAGTCAGTTTGAACTTTTGTGGTAATGGCATTTTAAGTAGTGATAATACAAAATGTTAAAGGTCCTATATTACACAAAATTGTGAGCTTTAAGCCACGTTATAATGTTGTGACCTCCTCATAAACATACCTGGAGTTGTGCTTTGTTTCATTTACACATGTTTGACTAATCCTTATTATTCATTTGTCTAAATCTCCAAAGCCCAAAATGCTCTGTACCATCTTGTGATGTCATGTGGTGGTAGTTTTCAAGTTAGCGCCTACCATTTTAGCTTTAATTCAATAGATCTTGTCAATTCCAGCACTTAAAACATTCAAACTATTCTAGTGGAGGTGTATGGATCTTAAAAACACAGTGGAGCACTTCCTGTATTACCACATGACATCACACGGTGGAACAGAGTGTTTTCCCTTTGAGAGAAGATCTCAGCGTGTGAATCAACATGTGTAAATGAAACAAAACACAACTCCCGGTATATTTTTGATGAGGAAACAACATTTTAACATAGATCAGAAATACTGAAGTGCAGCATGTACTTCCTGTAGTGGCGCACTATATATTGCAAAAGTATTGGCAACACAGCAATCTACATGTATTGCAATAACACCAAAAGACAGAAAAGTATAAAGTAGAAGAATAAATATTGTAATTATATCAATGTTGCAGTAATTAACAGCCACATCACATATGTAATTAGCAGAACTTTAATTAGATAGGCCTTTCTGATACAGCTAATGTTGTGCAGCTCTCATTTATTTTATTTTTTGCTTTTTCTTGACTAATACCTAAACTAATAGTAAATATTTAGTTTTCTTGAGGTGGTTATTTTGAGTTAACATTACATTTATTTAACTTTTCTATTAAATAAATTAGGAGTACATTTTCTATTCTTGCCTGCTTGTGAGCATGTGTTATAGAGCTAAACATTTGGCAGTGCTCGCAGAATACACCCAGAGGCCACGCTAACAGGGACGCTCTCTTTCTCTGTAAGTCTAAGCTCTACTCCTGCTTTCCCCTTGACAATTACGGAGGGAGCAGCCAGATCATTGCTTCACTGCCTTTAATATTGTCTTTCCCTCCCTCCTCTCTCCCTTTCTCTCGCTCTCTCTACATATATATCTCTCTCTCTAGCTATACTGTATATCTATATGTGTCTCTATCTATTTATCTCCTTCTTTCTCCTCTCTCTCTCTCTCTCTCTCTCTCTATCTGTTTCTATCTGTCTATCTCTTTATCTGTCTCTGTCGCTCTCTCTGTCAAATCTGTCTGTTCCTCTTCTTTCTTCTTGTATCACTCTTTCTTCATCTAGATCATTTTCTCAATTAAAACACTCTCCCTTATCACTCCCTTCATCTTTCCTTCTCCCTCTCTCTCTCAGCTGCCTCTTCTTTCTTCTCTTTTCTTCCTCACTCCCTCTTTAGGCCTGTCACAATAATTACAGTATCGACTTACCAATACATGAAAGCTGGGACAATATTTTGGGTCTCAATATTTATTTTGTGATACCGTCTATTTAAAACTGGTTTACTATGATTATCATTAGGGATGCATCGATCCAGCTTTTTCAGTTCCAATATCGATTCTGATCCTACTAAACTATGGTTTGATATTAACTAATGCAGAGAGTGAAAGTTAAAACTGATCCAAACATAGCATAGTTATAGCTTTGTCTCTTTATTTAAATACAAATTCAAACATGAGGGTTTCTGAGTCATCAATACGTCAATTTATAGATCAGGATATCGACATAACTGAAATTTAAGTCAAGTTTTCCAGTATCAGCGCCAATATCCGATACTTTTAGTTTTAATATTATAGTTTATTGCAATACTTCTCTGTAGCAATTAATTTTGCTTCGAAATGAGTTTATTGTGACAGACTTATTTGCAGCTCTCTCTCCCTTTCTTTAATTTTTTTGTCACATCCCTTCTCTCATCCCTCTTTTTATTCTTGGTCCGTCGTTGCCCCCCGTCTCTTTCTCACACTTTCACTTATCACTCTCTCTTCCCCTTTCATCTTTCCTCCTCCCTCTCTCTTCCTCACACTTCCCTCCTTTCTCCCTGTTATTTTTTGCTTGTACCTACCTATTTTTCTCAACCCCTCCCTCTCCCTCTCTCTCTTCTCTCCATTTTCTCTCCCTCTTTTGCCCCATTCACCCACTCTCCTCCTACCTCTCTCTCTTCTCTCTGTCTCCTCTCCCTCCTTTCTCTGCTCGCACGCTCCTTGCCTGCTAATGTTAACTGCTGCGGCTCTACCCACTTTGAACTTTCAGGATGGTGCCAGTCAAGTCTATGGGGAAGTGAAGGAGAGAGGAGAGAGGGAGGGCATCTGAGCAGAGGAGAGGAGGAGTGTGGTTGTGAAGAGAAGACACAATGGGAAGACCAACAGGGGAGGAAAACATGAGGTCCAGATCAGGGCTGCACGCTTTTGGAGAAAAAATAAAAAAGCATATCTTCGGACAAGTATGAAGAGTATTTAAATCATAATTGGATTGTTGGAGTGCACATTGTAAACAACTTCAAGAGCATTTAGATTTGAGAAGACTGGACAACTACACAAAATATACATCATAACGTTCAAATATTAAGAATACTGAATGAACAGATAGATAGATATACTTAATTTATCCTGAAGGAAATGCATTAATCCAAATAATAGATTAATGAATGAGTAATGAACTAAATGAATAAGACCCATTTATATGAATATCTTAAATTAGATCTTTACCGTCTCTAATTTGATCATGACTTATAAACTACAACACATAAAATAAGTATCATGACAGATAAATATTGAATGGTTCTGCAACAAAACAGGAAAGCATGAGAAAACTTAAACTTCTGCTTCGTTAGTTCATGATGAATAGTTACTGTATTCAAATGTGGTGCATAAACATGTACAGGCATGATGGGGTGTGTGTGTCTGGGTATGGATTCACACACAAACACATCAAAACTGAGGATGGATAACACACACACACACAGGATATGGATATGGGCAGTAGACGGGCAGGGACAAAAGGAGTCTGCTGTCCCAGGCCCCAGGGTTTTAAGGGCATTCATTTATATTAAAGTTGGGCTCATGTGAAGCTTCTTGCCTTGGGCCTCCAAATTTCTGTTGATGGGCCTGATTAGACATGAAGTACATGTTCTGTAGAAATACATCCAGATGCAGGAGTGTGTGAAGGCCTCTGTATGAATAGTAATCAATTGCAACAACACTGGCAATTACAGAAAAACTAATAAGAAAGGAGTGGTATTATAAACTGCTCCATGTGTGAACCACAAGCTGAACGTTTCACAACTGTAAATAAGAGAGTAGGTGCTTCAATCTAATGTATGTATGTAATGTAATGTAATGTAAAGAAAAAGCCCCCCAAACTAAACCAAATTATATTCAAATTGTTTTATTTTTATCTATTTAATCAGAGATGTCAACCTTTTGGAAAATTCCTGACCTGTGAAACAAGAAAGCTGCCTGTCCACCTCTTTTACAACATGCAAATATCAGAACTCATTTGTTTTGTAATGTGCCTCCATGCAAGTTAGAAATGCATGAGGGGATGGTGTATTTCTAAGTATGTTTTTTTACATTAAGATCTCCTTTATATCACAAACCTACTAAAGATACAGGATGTAACTTTTCTGGTGAAGTATCTGCCATCTGTTTGCTTACACTGAGATGTTGTTAAATCCAGAATTTTCTTAATTTCTGTTATTAAACTATAAACTAACTCTATCTCCATGGTGACAAGCAGGTGAAACCAAGTTACAGGTCACATCTGTGGAGAGGCTAGCTCACTCGTAGTAAGAAATGCATATTGGTATTTGTTTTAGCAATGCCACGCCTCTAGCTGAAGAAATGCGAGATAGGGATGGGACAATAAATTTACATAATCATGATAATTGACAACAAAGATCATCATCATTATTTTACTAGAATGTGCAGAAAAAAGCTACTTACCCATCATGTTTTCTTCTCCATCATCATTGCTTTCACTTACAACAAATTACAGTCATATAATAGTTGTTTAATATAGAACTTATTCGTAATATTAAATTAAAGCAATTATTCACATCCATAACATGTTTTAACTTAAATCATTACTGTGATATTATCGTTAATCGCAATTACTTAGGCCATGAAGTTTTAATATCGTCCCAGTTACGTCTCATCGTAGCAGGAAGGGGAACCCTCACCAGAAAAATGACATGCACATGCACATTTAAATATCTTATCTTAGCTCTCCACTGGCCAAATAGATGACTGTGAATTCTGTATAGATGATTCTTTATATCTGATTTTTTTGTGTTGTTTTTTTTCTGTTTCAGTACTGGCATAAATCATGCTTCAGCTGCGAGATCTGCCAAATGACTCTAAACATGAAGACCTACAAAGGGTACGAAAGGAAACCATACTGCAATGCGTAAGTACCACCACACAATTCCCACTGTCTTTAAAGGGCCCGCATTATACTGTTTTCTGATATGTGTTATAATGCTGCTTCCTCATCACAAACATACCTACAATTGTGTTTTGTTTCATACACACATTTAACACACAAACACAACTACATATTAGGCTGATTTCTTCTCTCAAACTGAAAACACGCTGTTCTACCTTTTGATGTCATGTGGTAATACAGGAAGTGCTCCACTATGTTTTTGTCTCTATACACCTTCACTAGAATCAATAGGAAGTTTTCAGCCATGTAATTTCTGATCTCTACTGTGAATCTTCTTCATGTTTTGCCTTGTGTTTAAACCTCAATTTATTTATTTATTTATTTATTTATTTCATTTGTGTTATATTATCAGAACTGTGTCAAATTGTCAATTATATGTGAATGTTGTTATGAATATTTTCTCAATTCTAATCTTGGGAACGTCTTTCAAATGTTGTCAAACAAGGGTACAGTCATATTTCTGTACATTAGTGGGTAATTTTACAGTCCTCATCTAAGGACACTTTTGGCAAACCAGCAGAAATGTGCTAAAGTATCACAATCATTATGTTATATTTGCTTCTATGCTAGTAATTACCGAGCTGTGGGCAGGGATGGGGGTTAAGTGAAAACAGCAATTTTCAGAGCACTCAAGCCTCAAATGCAGGCCAATACTTGATTACTCAAACATGCATGAATCGACCTTGACCTTAAGAACTTTGAGATACTGCTTTGAGTAAGCTAATGACAGTGGAGAGAGTTATAACAAGGGCTGTCCAAACTGATAAAACTTGATCTTTAGATTCTATATTCTAATTATTTTCTAGAACCAATAGTTGTGTAAAGGTATTTAAGGTTGTTTCCTAATCACAATCATACCTGGAGTTGTGTTTTGTCTCATTCACACATGTTTAACGCACAAATCCTGCATATTTCTTCAACAGAGTTCTTCTCTCAATCAGCAAACACTCCGTTCCACATTGTGATGGCATGTAGTAATGCAGGAAGTGCTCCACTGTGTTTTTAAGCTCCACATACCTTAACTAGACTCATTTGGATCATTTCAGACCTGGAATTTCCAGTCTCTGCTAAACAAAAGGTAAAAGGTAGCTGTTAACTTGAAAACTACCGCTTCATCACATCGCAAGGTGGAACAGAGCATTTTGAGCTTTGGAGACAGGGACAGACTAATAATGCAGGATTATAGGAACACAACTCCATGTATGCTTTTGATTAGGTAACAACATTATAACATTGCCTAATGCTCACAAGAGTCAATTTTGTGTAATATAGGACCGTTTTAATACACCAAATCTTTTAGCAGCTGTAGCATTGCATGTAAACCAGATGTCTTATGTAACTTTTCTTGGCCTCCCCACTGCAATTTGTGTTTGGGACTTGACTGAACTTGAACTGCTGCCTGCTCCACTCATTACTCCCACCATTATTCACCACTCATTTTGGGGGGATCCCGTAGATTCCCAACGAGCTATGTCACATACAGTCTGTGCTTGCTTTTCATAGGTCAAGGCTTGTAGTGTCACTGTACAGGAACTTGAGGAATTTCCTTTGTTAATAGTTGAAAAAAGGAAAAAAAAAAAGTAGGGAGGGAGCAGGCTTTTTCCCAGAGCGGCTTTAGGCCTATGGGAAGCAGATAAACACCAGAAGGTGGAGGGGCCTAAGTTTGGGTAGCAACTTTCACAGCAGCACAACACATGGTTTTGACTAGTAACTGGCTGCATAATATTGGGAAAACTGTATGGATATTACAATAATGAAAATAGTTGCACAACCATAAAGATAAGTAAAATAAAATAAACTTAAGATTTTGTTTTTGTGTAATACAGACAACTGTCCCATGTGTGTTGGGCTGCTCAGTTTTAAAGGTGCATTGTGTAACTGTTCTGGTTGATTGTCCACCAGCTGTTTTTTCTATTGGAAATGTTATTGCTTTGTCTGAAATGTTTCACAGTATGGCATTAAACCTTTCTATTTTCATGGAGACCAAACCAGTCCAAGTTACAGGTCATATCTGTGGAGAGTAAGTCATTTTTGAGCTTTAAAATTACCTGTAATTGAATAAATGTGAGGTAGATCTGATTATTGTTATATTGTGGAACATTCGAAGCAGAGCAATGACGTATGCATTCGAACAAGCAGGTGACAGACCCCAACAGAAAGGTTACATAGTGCACCTTTAATATCACGTTATGACAGTTTTGTAATAGGTGTATGTTATGGGGTTTAATTTAGTATTAAGTGTTGACTACACAATCCAAAAACATTATATTTTATTTTGACAAAAACAAGCACATTGTAACTGTATTCAGAAGTGTTAACATTTGACAGAACATTTACAAGAATCATCTGCAATTCAATACAAGCTCAATCAATTGTATTTTGTGACTTTATTTCACAATTTAACCTGACCTACCAGTCCCACCTACTTTCAGTTTGAATGCAAACTCCTCTAGAGCCAGACCATAAAAGGTGTCAAAACCATCCTAACCACAACTGCTAATTTGTGTCATGTGTTTTTCTTTCTTACAAATTCTTCTATTATTGGGAACGAAATATGTGACTTCATTCATCAAAAATTGAATTTATTGCTTTGATTGTTTGATTGTTTTGCCCTCATGTTTGTTTTGACATGAACACACTACAGAAACCAGGGAGACAGGGTGTGGTTCCTGATTCACACGTCTTTCAAAGTAATATTAAAGCTCATATTGCGCAATTTTATCTTTTATGTTATAATGTTGTTTCCTCATCAAAAACATACCTGGAGTTTTGTTTCATTCACACATGTTTAACCCACACACCCGGTATATTTAAGGTAATACAGGAAGTGCTCCACTGTTTTTGTAAACTCCATACAACTTCACTAGAATCATGTAGATGATTTCAGTCCAGGAACTGCTAATCTTTACTGAACATAAGATAAAAGGTAGCTGTTAACCTTAAAACTACCACTACATGACATCACAAGGTGGAACAGAGCATTTTGAGGCATGTAGGCAGACTGAGAATAGAGCTTTATTTAAACATGTGTGAATGAAACTAAACACAAATCCAGGTATGTTTTTAACAACATTATAAAATGGCTAAAAACTCACAAGAGTCACAAGAGAATTTTTTATAACACAGAACCTTAAATGTCCAAATAAATGTGGCTTTGGCTGCTCAGGCAACCATTTAACCACAAGTTTTAGTTCATAATTTTGTGGCTCTTTCTAGTCCATAACAGATTACACTGTCACCACTTTTTAAAAATGTCTTTGTTTTGTATCTGACTTTCCTCCGGCAGCAGAAGTGTCTCCTTCAGGCCTGTTTATTGTGTCTTTTTCAGTTTGTTTAATTTAAGCCTGGATCAAGTAAACTCCACTTTAAGAGCCTTGAGTTTTAGGGGAGGAAGTTTGTAAATGTTATTCTTTAGTGTGATAAATATAACTGTTTTCACTGATGTTCCCAGTAACTGATATGTTTGTTGCCTTTAACCCACTTCAGCGCTACAGGGCTGTGCAGATGAGCTCAATAGGATACTGTTACTATGCCATACTGATACTAATGGGAATGGGAATATGGTACAGGAAATAGGGCTGAACAAAAATATAGAAATATCGATATATTGTGATACAGTATCAGTATCAATATCATGGGCTGCTCTATCGATGCATCGCCAAGAGTATTTTTTGTGTGTCTTTTAGCAATTTTTTGTGATCGCATGACAATTTTATTGCTTATTTAGTGGAAGAAACAAACTTGTTTATGCAATACACTGGTAATATGATGATTATTTGCACAAACAGTAGTTTAACAAAGAAATATTGTTCCTAAAATTTGTTTAGTTCTTAAAAAACAGTAATATATCTGAGTATCATGTGTATATATTGATAACTCATGTATTGGCATATCGTGATGATACTGTAGCGTGTATTGTGTATCATATCATATTACCACTGAAACAGCTGAAACTCTAAAGACTATAAATGCCTTTGCCCTGTATTTGACTTCCTCAGTTTTGCATAACCTGGAAACTTGCTAAAGAAACGACAATCATATAGCAACAATTCTGGCTTCCTCGTCTGCCAATGGTTCCTGGAAAGGGCTGTGTTTTCATTCAGGAGTTATTTCCAGTTTAAATATTGACTTTGGAAGTGATTCTCTATGTCACTCGCTAGTTTGAAATAAGTTACTTTATTTTTAAGTTATGATAGATGTTTCATGCGCAATCTGCGACCAGGGCCCTAACCTCTGGGTTCAGCTCCCATGCAATGTGGGTTATTTGTATGTGGAGTTTGCATTTTCTCCCTAGGCCACAATCATTGCTTATCATTCAATATATTGTTGTAGCTTTTAAACAATATGAGCTGTAAACATTTGAATAGGTGAATTCTATGGCCATTTATTGACCAATAATAGTGCTTTATTTGTTGCAGCTGCACCTTTTAATACTGTCTATTTAAAAATGGTTTACTGGGATTATCCTGCAGTGTTGTTAGAGTAGTAGCATAAAGTAGTTTCAGTATTACCGTTTATCGCAGTATACTGTATCTCTGTACCAATATATCGTGCTTCAACATTTGTGACAGGCCAATGTAAAGCAAAATTACATATCAGAGGAGGAAGAGGATGAGTTATGCCACTATGATCCAATCTGACATGGTTGAAATTTATAAAGACACAGGGAGAACATGAAAATTCCACGAAACACTGAGAAATTGAACCTTGGATCGTTTTCTTGTGAGTTCTAACCACTGTACCACACTCCCCTTCCTTCATAGATTTTTTTTCAATCTTTTCACAGAATCGTTGCATGTGTCACCGCTTGAATCATCACCTTGTTGCACAGCTTTGACAGATAGTTTTAGTGACTCATCTCTGCCAGAAACACAAGCTATAAATGCGTTTAGACACTACAGTGCAAAGTCCCATTGACTCCTCTCCAAGCCTGTATTTGGATTGCAATTAAAAGGGCATAG